TGAGGCTGAGTCTTGCTCTGTTGCTCAGGCTGGAGTGCAGGGGCATGATGTCTGCTTATTGCAACCTCCACCTCCCAGGTTTAAGTGATTTTCCTGCCTCGGCCTCCCGAGTAGCTGGAATTATAGGTGCCCACCATCATGCCTAATTTTTGTATTTTTAGTAGAGACGGGGATCTCACCATGTTGGCCAGGGTGGTCTTGAACTCCTGGCCTCAAGTGGTCCACCCGCTTCAGCCTCCCAAAGTGGTGGGATTATAGGTCTGAGCCCCTAATAGGATGTGCCTATCCTATTCTTTACTTTTGTAGTCTTCACAATCTATTGTGAACACTTTCATTTCTCCCTGTGAACACTTTCATGTCTTTCTTAATAATCTTCACAATCCCAGTTTTTATATACCGTTGTTCTGTGTGATAGTAACTGCTAAATTTCTCTCCCTTCATCCTACTCCTTATCTTCTTCTGTAAATTCTGCTAGACTCAGAGCATCAAATATGGCTAAAACTGAGTTCCTTTTTCCTCTGATTTTTTTTCCCTAACTTCAAGATCTTGTATAACTCCAAAATGTCTTCAACCCTTCTTCATTCCTCTGTCTCAGCAGACCCTTTCACTTCTTCCTCATAGTCTAATACATGTTTCCTCTTTTTTTTTTTTTTTTAAATCCACACCTAAACTGTTAATTCAGGTATTGGTCATATCCTACTTGAGCTTTCTGACTTACTAAGCCATATTCCCAGGCTGTATTTCAAACACTGTTTTTCTACTTGTGCACTCTTTATCAGTCAGTGAACGTTTACTAAAGACCCACTCTGTGCTAGACAGAGGAACATTTCAAATATATATATATATATACAGTCTATCAATAAAACTGTTATTCTATACACACACACATACCCCATTTTTTAAATGCTTGAATATGTAACCCAACTGAAAAAATTAAAAAGTTATGATGCTTTAAAAAGGAAAAATATACATAATGGTCAATATGACACAATCTATGATGGAGGCCATGTAGGCAGATAATAATGGCCATTAAAAACTCAGCTTACAGCTGGACGCGGTGGCTCATGACTGTAATCCCAGCACTTTGGGAGGCCGAGGCAGGTGGATTACGAGGTCAAGAGTTTGAGACCAGCCTGGCCAAGACAGTGAAACCCCATCTCTACTAAAAATACAAAAATTAGCCAGCTGTGTGGCAGGTGCCTGTAATCCGAGCTACTCGGGAGGCTGAGGCAGAGAATTGCTTGAACCCCGGGGGCAGAGGTTGCAGTGAGCTGAGATCACGCCGTTGCACTTCAGCCTGGGGAACAAGAGCAATACTCTGTCTAAGAACAGAAACAAAAACAAAAAAAACCTCAGCGTACAAGGTGCACTTCAGGCCACCATGGCCAGGAAAGGCTGCTGCAAAATGTTCAGAAGCCTTGATTCTTTTTGGACTGATGAGTGTACGGAAGGAAAATGTCTTCTCACCAGGGCAAAGGGTGGAAGTGAAAACACATGAAGAGGAAATGTACCTTTCCAGCTCCTTAAAAATAAGGACTAAAATTCAGATCCTTTATTCTTTGGAATGTTGTGGTGTCTCTTTTCCCTCCCATGCCCTCCACCTGTCACCTCCTTCCTATCTCTTAGATTCATTCGACAGTTCTTAACCCTGGTTGAACATCAAAATCCCTGGGAAGTTTGTGAAAAAAATTCCATGCCCCGGCAACAAAACAGGCCAGTTAACCAACAGTCTCTGGAGCTGGGCCCCAGCCAAACACCTGGTGTTAAGACCTGCAGTCTCAATTCAGTTCTGCCACTCGGCTCTATATTTTGACCCATATTTGGAATCGTCTTCTACTCCATATCATATGGAGTCATGTCATTTTAGAGGTCTTATGATGTCCAATTCTTTAATTTTACCAATCAGGCAACCAGTCTAGGGAGACAAAAATCGCATAGCTACCCAGGGGTACGGCCAAGACTAGAACCCTTCTCTTGGGCAGTAATCAAGTTGGATAGACTAGATACGAGAATGGTGAGCTAACACCAGCACTACATCCCACCAACAGGCAAGAGGACCGAAGCGCGTGATGTTGAGTAATCAGCATGGAAGGACAGCCAGTTGTCAGGCAAAAATGGACAAAGCTGAAGTCCTGCAAACATGTTTGGCAAGGGTAATTCAGACATCATTCTGGAATAATATAAAATAATGCCTGTCAAACTTTAGTGTGCATAAGAATCAACTGGGAGCTTATTAGAAATTAATCTTCCTGGGTCCTACCGCAGTGAGTCTGGCTTAGTTATCTTGGGTGGCGCTAGAGAAGGGGCATGGGGGCATGTTTAGCAAGTTACCCAGGTGATTCTGATGTGTCCTCTGATCTGAGGACACACTTGCAGGGAAGCACTCGACATTAATCTAAGGTAGAAGATCGATGCTGGCTTCCCAGAAACAGGCTCTTTGACCATTGAAAAAGGGAGATTCAGGAGTAGCATGGTTACCGTAGCTGTATCTACCACCAGTAGGAAGTCAGAACACACAAGGTAGGGGAGAATAACACAGAGATCACCCCTGCAGAAATGAGTTAGTTTAGGATTTACAATTTAAAGACTGATAGCAGCCAAAACTGACTCATCTGTATTTCTGTCTTCAGTTGTAATCATCTGGAGGAAAGAAAGCTTTTTAAAAACTATACTCTTGGCTGGGTGCAGTGGCTCATGCCTATAATCCCAACACTTTGGGAGGCTAAGGCGATCACTTGAGGTCAGGAGTTCGTGACCAGCCTGGCCAACAAGGTTAAACGCTGTCTCTACTGAAAATACAAAAACTAGCCAGGGTGGTGGCAGGTACCTGTAATCCCAGCTATTCGGAGGCTGAGGCAAGAGAATCACTTGAACCCAAGAGGCAGAGGTTGCAGTGAGCCAAGATTGTACCACTATACTCCAGCCTGGGTGACAGAGTGAGGCTCTGTCTCAAAAAACAAAATGAAACAAACAAATAAAAAAACCCCAAAAAAACTCTATTCTTCTAATGGCCCAGCTCTGTAACACAAAAGCAACAAATATAGTGGTGCTATTTCTATATTATTTTTAAATTTGCAAATAATTTTAATTTTCATTTGAACCTCCAGTATCCTTTAGGTAGGTAGAATAAAATGATATTTCCTATGTGTTACCAATGAATAAACATGCCAGGGTTCACCTATGTCACAGAGAGGAGACAAGCTACATTTTCTAAATCCTTTTGTAGTGGAAGCAAAATAATGTAGGACCCACTGTGAGCTTTGGAATCAGGCAAACCTGGGTGGAATCTTACTTCCATCGTAGGCAATGTGACCTTGAACAACTTACTTTTTCTCTGAATTTAAATTTTCTTGTCTGTAAAATGGAGGTAATAGTACTTTCCTCCTGGGGTTGTTAAATGAGGTAATTTTTAAAATATGCCTGGCACATAGTTGCTGAGTAAATGTACCACCTCAAGGACAAGCAGAAAAAACCAGCTTAAGAAAATGAGAATTTAGCATAGGAAACACATACCAAAGTTAAGAGCGGATTCTAATTAATGAGTAGAATATTGATGGAATTTTGAGTTTGTGGGTTGCTTAGCAACCAAAATTAACTCAATACCACTAACTCCCCGAGTTGTTGTTTTTAATCAAAGCAGTAAACTGCTCTTAAGGAGCTCAAGGTTGTGAACAGACAAAAGGATTCCCCTGTGCATTTGGGGTTGTGCCAGACATTTTGAAAAAATGATGCCCCAGCTCCTCTGTGGTTTTGTACTTAAACATCTTGGACATTTGGATTCCCCCAATTCTCTGCCCATAAGTGACAGAAGATGTTATAACATCTGTTACATTGGATAGAGGGTGAGAAAGGAGAAGGGTGTGTATTAAGCCAAACTCATGGAATGCTAGGGCTCAGAAATACAAAAGCATTTGTCTTTGCCCCTGCTGCCCTTTAGAATTTCAGTCGAGAGGAAACAAGTCAATATTGAATAATACAGCAAATTATTCATGAGTGGCTCGCTGTGTCCCCCACAACATTCTAAGAGTTACAGACTGAGCTGTACAAGAACATGGAGGGCAAGTCTGAAATATCCATGGTTAGGAGTTTTATTTTCTTGGCAAAGCAGCCCTGAAAGAATATCCCACTTTGGTTCCCCAAAACATTAATATTTGATTCACAGCCTTGAGAGCTGGCATTGAATGTTGGAGAGGCTCTAAAGAGGGGTGGAGGGAACTGGAGCTCCATGCTACTGTAGGTCACTTACACCTCTTTTACCTGAAGCCAGAGACTCAACCAATCTGTGCCCTTCTTTTCTCATTTGTAAGCTGGGCATGATGATTTAGATTCTGCCTCCCTCATGGCAATGAGTATGAGGCAATGAGATAATAAACACAAAAGTTCTGTTGCAATAAATGCAATTTCTAGCTAATCTTCATCAATTTGCCAGCAGGTTTACATCGCATTTCATTGAGCATCCTTGTATCTTCATTTACATTTTCTTATTCCTTTTTAACTTGTAGTCTTAACAATTTAAAGAGAAAAAAAAAAACCCTGATGAACTTGGAACAACTGTGTTTATTTGCACTTAAATTTGTCTTCATCATTTGTAGCTTGGCGTGCTAACTTCTTTTGCAGTGAAGATCAACTTTATTGCTTAGGAAAGAAATCCATTGTGCCACTTTGGCATGTCAGCATTTATTTACAAAAAACATGACCTCAGGCCTACAGGCCTTTAAGGCAGACAGCTGGTTGATGAATCATGTTCAACATTCATATAGTGCTGCTGGCATATGTCAGAAGGACACTCCCGCTAATCACCTGCCCCTGTCAGTCTTTCCACTTCTAATAAAGCATATCTGTTTTGGTGACCGAATAAAAACACACCAAGTGGAGAAGGGCCGGGTGTGGAGTAATTTAATCAGGACAAGTCAGCACACTGCATTGAGCAGTACAGTATCAAGGATGAAAAGATGGTTTGGTAGCAGCTGAATGACATGAAGTAGATTAGAAAAGGCAGAAGCACAGTTCCCCTTATTATCATAATGAGTCATGACCCTGGAATGTGGGAGACCCAATATACCCTCCAAATCAAGATTTTTAAGGAGACAGGATTCCCATAAGTTCCCTTCTGAATTGCCACGAACGTTTTACATGGCCTTTCTCTATTAGCATCATATTAACATTTGCTGAGGATTATAAATTTTTAAGGAAGGTCAAACCAAAGTTCAGAGCTCCACTAGCAAATCTTTTTAATACTGGCTTTCGTGGGTGTGTTTGGTATCTAGAAGAATTGATTGATTTAAAATACCCTAGTTTTGAAACAGCAGGGAGACTGACATTTGCAGTTTGGTATTTTGCAGTTCTCACTACTCATTGTATTTTTAAAATAATTTTTCTTTGTTGTGATATCCAGTAGAACAGAATTTTGTGTTTTGTCTAAGAGTAGAAATTGAACATGTTCAGGATGCTGGTCTGTCTTGAATTTCATCACCATCATCTCATGGATTGGTGGGGAGGAGAAATAATTAGGGATATGCAGGATGTTTGAATTGTATTTGAAAACAAGTAAAAACAACAATATGACTATAAGCTGTAAGTCTAAGGTTTTTTTTAGTGATTTACCTGGCAGTGTTCTTAAAGTCATTACTTGCTGACAAAAGAGTCACTATCCATGATGAAAAACCAGGAACTTCAACAACAGCTCCTTTATTTCCATTTCTGCTTCTACTGGTGATTATACTGTTCCATTTTTTTACTCCAGCTAAGTCATTTTCACCACTGTGTGTGTTTTTTTCTCCTATGGGGCAAGGTCTGTGATATCTGATATTTTATTAACAGGTGTGCTGCAAATAATCTATTTCAAAAATAAAACACTAAATATAGTGCACAAGTTCAAGGCTTTTGAAGGTTACTGTAGTTTTAAAAAATCAATGTAATGAATGCATTACATTGAAATCATTTATTGTTAGGAAACCGGGTGGCAAATGATACATATATCCTGTAGCTCTGTCATGGCTGATGCTCTCCTGACTCAGATTACATATTAGCATTTCTACCATATGGCTGAAAGGGTAGAGAATGTATGTGCAGAGTAACAGAGTTGGTAACATTTTTGACCATCTGGTAAATAAATACATAAGCAGCAGGAATATTAATATTTATTTAGTTATATGATGCAACCTTTAACGTGAAATAACCACTAGTACAACAAAGTAGTACTAAATTTGTTTCTCAAATAATTTCCATCTAATTTATTAAACATTTTAACAGTCAATTAATGCTCTTAGAATGTGACTTCTAATTATGTTTCTTATGTTTATTGATATAGTTGGGTTCCTTATCATGCCAAATTAAAAAATCTTTCATGAGAGGCCACATGCCCAGCACATGGGCATGAGTGCCAAAGTTCTGCTTTGCCAGTGATCACTGTGTGGCCTGGGATAAATTATTTGACCTCTTTATGCCTCAAATTCATGTGTAAAGAGTGAATAACATTATCAGACAGTACCCCTCAAAGGGTGGGCCATGGATGACCATGGATTAACACATCAGAATTACATGGGGAGCTTTTTCAAAATACAAACACATGGGGCCCACCTGCAGTGACTCTGATTCATATATCTGGAAGCAGTCCATGAATCTGCAATTTTTGATTTATATCTTTTTTTTTTTTTTTTTTTTTGAGACAGAGTCTCACTCTGTCACCAGGCGCCAGGCTGGAGTGGAGTGGTGCGACCTCGGCTCACTGCAACCCCCGCCTCCTGGGTTCAGGCAATTTTCCTGTCTCAGCCTCCCGAGGAGCTGGCACTACAGGCGCATGCCACCATGCCCAGCTAATTTTTTTGTATTTTTAGTAGAGACGGGGTTTCACCATGTTGGCCAGGATAGTCTCCATCTCTTGACCTCGTGATCTGCCCGCCTCGGCCTCTCTAGGCTTCTGAAGTGCAGTGGTGTGATCTCGGCTTACTGCAGCCTCTGCCTCCCGAGTTCAAGTGATTCTTGTGCCTCTGCATCCTGAGTACCTGGGATTCCAGGTGCATGCCACCATAGCCAGCTAATTTTTGTATTTTTAGTAGAGACAGGGTTTTGCCGTGTTGGCCAAGCTGGTCTCAAACTTCTAGCCTCAATTGATCCACCTGCCTCAGCCTCCCAAAATGCTGGGATTCCAGACAGACGCCACCATGCCCGGCCTGCATTTTTAGTCACTGTCCCAAGTGATTCTGAGATACACTGAATCACTCCCATAGAGACAAGATTAATATAGAGCACTTAGCTACCTTGAAAAATATGAAGCTAATTTTAATAAATACACTTTTTATACCATAGAAACTTAACACTCAATAGCACTTGTGCTTAAAATACTTTAACTTCATAGAAAATAGGAGGTCAGCTTGCTAAGTAATGTTGCTGATCATTAAATATACCTCACAATTCTCCTTTTTGTTTAATTAGAGCCTTTATCTTTTTTTCTCTTGCATAGGAAATAGCAGAATATTTGTGGACTGGATCCAAATAAGGAGCCCAGATGAGCTTAAAGAAGCAAGCATGGGATTCTTAGTTTTTCAAGATCCATACACACAAAACCTTTAATCAGCACCAACTGTAGTGTCCAAGTTTTCTTTGATTTTGTGAAGACTGAGCAAAACTCTCATGATGGAAAAGCAACGGACTTAGTTACCTGTTTCAGTGTCATCTAAAGTCAACTGAAAAGTCAACCAGGCAGAGTAATACAGCCATGGAAAGAAATTCAAGTTTATGGAAGAACCTCATAGATGAACACCCAGTCTGCACAACCTGGAAGCAAGAGGCCGAAGGAGCCATTTATCATCTTGCCAGTATTTTATTTGTAGTAGGTTTCATGGGTGGCAGTGGATTCTTCGGGCTCCTTTATGTCTTCAGTTTGCTAGGGTTAGGTTTTCTCTGTTCTGCTGTCTGGGCTTGGGTAGATGTCTGTGCAGCCGACATATTTTCCTGGAATTTTGTACTTTTTGTCATCTGCTTCATGCAATTTGTTCATATTGCATATCAAGTTCGCAGCATAACCTTTGCCCGAGAATTCCAAGTGTTGTACAGCTCCCTTTTCCAGCCCCTGGGGATCTCTTTGCCTGTCTTCAGAACGATTGCTTTGAGCTCTGAAGTGGTTACTTTGGAAAAGGAACACTGTTATGCCATGCAGGGGAAAACTTCCATTGATAAACTCTCCTTGCTTGTTTCAGGAAGGTTTGTACCTTTGGTGCTTGCATGTCTTTCCTCAAGTATTAGTTATCTGTTTGTGTTTCTTTCCACTTTATTTTTCTGTCTCAGTGTAACATAGTCCTGGGTGGCATTTAGCACCCCGAGGCTTTAGTAAGTCTGTGATACAGGAGTCGTAGACATAGAAATAGGCATTTAGAGTATACGGCATTATTTACTTGAAGCAGAAAATAATCAAGAGCTTTAATATTTCATCTTAGAAATCAAATTACGTGAATCTTTAAAGTATGAGTTTGTTTTTCTGGATGCGATATTTGTTTCCTAGATAATTACTGGAAGTCAAGAAGAGGATAATGTCAGCTTCAGTGCTTCAATTAATAGAATACTTACATTGGCATGCAAAGTATTTTTAAAACTCTTTGATAGGGCATTCTTTTAAGTAACAGAGAACATTTAAATTTTATTGTCTTTTTTTTTTTTTTTTCAGCAAATTCTAACAATCACCCATGAGAAGCAGACTGTGGGGGCAGGGGGTGGGGCACCTGAGGAACATATATAGAAATCTAAACTTTGAAAACAGGCGAGTTGCAGTGGCTGATGCCTGTAATCCTAGCACTTCAGGAAGCCAAAGTGGGAGTTTCACCTGAGGTCAGGAGTTCGAGACCAGCCTGGCCAACACTGTAAAACTCCCGTCTCTACTAAAAATACAAAAACAAAATTATCCAGGCATGGTGGCACATGCCTGTAGTCCCAACTACTCGGGAGGCTGAGGCAGGAGAATCACTTGAGCCTGGGAGGCAGAGGTTGCAGTGAGCCAAGATCACTCCACTAAACTCTAGCCTAGGCAACAGAGCGAGACTCTATCTCAAAAATAAAATAAAATAAACTTTGAAAACAAAGTTAGGGAAAGGAAACAATAATGGAATTACTCATGGCTTTCAAAAAGTTAAAAATTTAGTTTATAGGCCAGGCACGGTGGCTTACACCTGTAATCCCAGCACTTTGGGAGGCCAAGGCTAGTGGATCACTTGAGGTCAGGAGTTCGAGACCAGCCTGGCCAACACGGTGAACCCCTGTCTCTACTAAAAATACAAAAAACTTAGCTGGGTGTCATGGTGCACACCTGTAAGCCGAGCTACTTGGAAGGCTGAGGCACCAGAATCACTTGAACCTGGGAGGAGGAGGTTGCAGGGAGCCGAGATAGTGTCACTGCGTTCTAGGCTGGGCAACAGAGTGAGACACTGTCTCAAAAAATAAATAAGTTAAAAAATAAAAATTTGCTTTACAGAGGTATTTGTAGCAGAACTCCTCTGTGTTCTTAAGTGTTTCTCTACTTAATTTAAAATCTGACAGAGTCCATTAAAATGTTTTATTGACGTATAATATGCATACATAAATGGACATGTATCATAAATGTACAACTTCATGCATTTTCTGATGAATTTCACTCAATATTCCAGAATCCTGACTGTGTAAGGAACATAAGAACATGAATCTTAAAGGATATTATGTCACTTAATATAATGTATGAATTTAATATTTTGCCTTTCAAAATCGTAAAGGGCAAAACAGTCATCAGGGATCTGAAATACACTTCTTCTACCCCCTACCCCTGCCCAATTATGTGCTTTCTTTCTCCTTCCCTTAAAAATGATGTTCTTGTGTTTTGATAGGATCAGAGTGACAGTTGATGGCGAATTTCTGCATTACATTTTCCCCTTTCAGTTCCTGGATTCTCCTGAGTGGGATTCACTGAGACCCACAGAGGAAGGCATTTTTCAGGTAAGGGATAACTGGATCACAAGATTAGCGCCCCCTCTTCCAAACAGATAATCTTTGTTTAAAAATAAGCAAGCAAACACAACAGCAGATAAGACACAAATAATTTAAGACTTTGGGCCAGGTGCGGTGGCTCATGCCTGTAATCCAGCACTTTGGGAGGCTGAGGTGGGCAGATCACAAGGTCAGGAGTCCGAGACCAACCTGATCAACATGGTGAACCCTCGTATCTACTAAAAAAGATGCTAAAAGTAGCCAGGTGTGGTGGGACGTGCCTGCAATCCCAGCTATTCAGGAAGTTGAGGCCGGAGACTCACTTGAACCCAGGAGCCGGAGGTTGCAGTGGGCTGACATCATGCCACTGCACTCCAGCAGAACAGAGCAAGACTCTGTCTCAAAAAAGATTTTGGAATGTACTTTGCAGCATACATGACTTCCCAATTCTGTTGGACTCCTGAGGATTAATGCCACTTCATAGGTTCAGCAGTGAGAAGAACAGGTACTACGTATGACAGGAAGGAGTCTGTGATCAATACTTTATGCTTTACTTTGCATAACTGCATATTTATATTTAAAATATAACTAATTGAGATCTGAGTAAACATTGCTAATGCGACAGTCTAGAAAACATCAAGAACAAAAAAAAGTCGCACTTATTAAAAAATAAATGATTTTTTAAAATTTAAAATACTAGTAGATTTCAGTTGTTTTCTAGCAACAGAATGCTAAACTTGCCATCATTACTGTGCCGCCACATCTGGCAGTTTTGAAAGATAATCATTTCAGCAGGTTTCATTTATTTGTTACACTGTTTTCTTATGAATACATATATGTGTATATGCAGCAAACTCATATATGCAAGTTAGTCATATAAATTCTATTGTGTACTGCAGAAACTGCTTTAGGGTTAAATGTCCACAGTCTTCAGAATGGACTTGGAAATATTTCTGTAACATTAGCCAATTTTTTTTTTAAATATCAAGTCGTTCTCCCTTCAATAAAATGCAAAATATAGATACTTGAACTTAGAAAAACAGAGAGATTGGAGATGGCTAGACCATTGTGATTATTCATATTATAAATTATATATGTAGCAACAAATATTGTAGTTCCTATTTTTGCAATATATTGTAGGTCAGTGGGCTTTTTCAACCTAAAGAAAGGCAGCAAGTGAAATTAATTTAACATTTGCGGTAGAAGAAATGTGGCAGTTTTCTTGCCTCCTCATCTGTTTATGTGTGGTCTTGTGTTTTTTAGGTAACCCTCACTGCAGAAACTGATTGTCGATATGTGTCTTGGAGAAGAAAGAAATTGTATCTGCTCTTTGCTCAGCATCGTTATATCTCCCGCCTGTTTTCAGTGTTAATTGGCAGTGACATTGCAGATAAACTCTATGCCTTGAATGACAGGGTTTATATAGGAAAAAGATATCACTATGATATTCGGCTACCCAACTTCTATCAAATGTCAAGTCCAGAAATACGCAGATCACCCCTGACACAACATTTTCGGAATTCCAGACCATACTGTGAAATTTAAGTATAAAAAAAGACTCTCTCTTCACCATTCCCCAAATGAAATAGCAAAATACAAAAAAATTAGCTCCCTAATATTTTTATAAATCGAATTCAAAGCGAGATGCCATTGCCAACTGTTTTATTTCTTTCAACAACTGCATTGTGAATAAATTTTACAAATTTTTCTTGTATTTCTTATTGTTATAATTGGGGAGGGTGTGGATAACTATGGGCAGTTTGCCCTTTTCTGCCTCAGAACTGGGAGAATGAAATTCCACATTCTCAATTCTTTTCTCACATTTACTCAAATGCATTGTTTTGTCCTATAGACTCAGGCGTTGCTTCTCAATAAGCAGCCAGCAAGTATTCCCAGCCTGAGGGTGGGTTGCTACTGTCCACATAGGCATTTCCAGAATTCACCTTTTTTTTTTTTTTTTTCTGCTACAGCCTCCAATGAAAAGCAGATTTATTACTGTGGTGGGCAGCAATTATTTATTTTAAATGTGCAGTTATTTGATGTGACTAAAAAGGAGAATAAATGCAAGAGATAGTATGTGAATCTTGAAGCCTATTTTATTGCTACAAATAAAATAACATTTAAAAAGAAGCATTTTGTGGAAAACAAAGCTGCCTAATCATTACTAAGTACTCCTGAAAAAAAGTACCCCTGAACCAACAGTAAAAATGTTGCGCCGTGTTTCAATTTCAGATGATGAGCGGAAAGAGCTTTCAGTGGTGTGACTGGACAGTGGGGGTTCACAGGGAATGCTAAACCCACCACACGAACACAAGGGTCTGCCTCACAGCCAGTGCTTCAGCTCTGTGAAGAAGAGCTTAAGAAAGAACCCTAGTTGCAGATCTGATCCCTACCTTTGGAAAACTGGTTTTCTGAAGATCACATGCAGGCTATGTTCTTTGATACAGAGATATATAATCCAACATGTAACAAGTGTATACGGAGTACCTTCTGTGGCTCTAGGTGCTGACCTGGGCATGGGGATGGAGATCCCACCCCTGATAAAGCTTACATTCTGGGGGTATGGGAGACATAATAAAGTAAGTCAGAAAAACCTATATTTAGAAGGCAATAGTGCTAAGGGGAGTGATAAATTAGAGAAGGTAGATAAGAAGGGGCATTGCAATTTTAAGAGTGGTCAAGGAAAGCCTCCAGAAGGAATGTTTGAATGAAGACCTCAAAGAGGCGATGGAAGAATCCACGAAAATATCTGGGGGAAGAGCAATTTGGGCAAAGGGGACAGCAACTGAGCAGTCCCTTGGGCATGAGCATGACTGGTCTGCTCCACGAGCAGCTGGAAGGCTAACATGGCTGGCACAGAATGAACAGAAAGTAACTGTGGGCAGACGGGGTAAGGCCTAAATAAGTCATGATAAGGACTTTGACTTTTATTCTAAGAGTGGCCAGAAGCCATTGTAGGGTTTGAAGTAGAAGAGTGATATGATCTGCCCCATGTTTTAATAGGATCAGTCTGGCTAGCCTGCTGAGCATAGACTAGAGGGAGGAGAGAAAAGAGTGGACTTGGAAAGCAGAACGAGGATTAAGAGTGAGATGCCCACTGGACACTGAAGTGGAGTAGATAGTTGGATATATGAGCCTGGAGTTCAAAAGAAAAGTCTGGGCTGAAGTGACAGCTTTGAGAGTATTTAGCATATACGTGGTATTTAAAGCCATGAGTGTCCCTGAGATGGCCAAAAGAGTGAGTGTAGATTCTGAAGAAAAATGGTTGAGGGCCTGCCTTGCGGCACTCCATTGTTAAGAGGACGAGGAGATAGGGAAGAGTCAGCAAAGCATCTGACGAGGAGCAGCCAGTGAGGTAGGAAGGAAATCAGGAGATCCTGGGATCCTGTAAGCCAAGCAAAGAGAATTTCTGGGAGAAGGGCATGATGAACTATCTCAGATGTGGCTGAGAGGCCTTAAAATAAACCATCGAGTTAAGCAACATGGAAGTCATTGGGGAACTTAACAAGAGCAGTTTTGGTGGAATGAGCAGGAACAAAAATGACTGAAGCAGTGAAGGAGAATGAAAGGCAAGAAGTTGGAACAGTAAGGGTAGGTAAGTTTTTCAAGGAGTTCTGATGTGAACAGAAATAGAAACGGACAGTGGCCTGGGCAGAAAGTGGGGCCAAGAGAGGGGGTTGTTATTAAGACAAGATGGCACAGTTGCATGTAGACGAAAACGATTCCACAGTTTTTCTTCATTCTACTAAAATTTAACACATACCTATCAATCAAAAATACAAATAAGCATCAGTATCATATAGACCTATTATAATAAAATACAGGCTTAATCTGATAGAACTGTGTATTATTTCAAGACTGGAAATCTTACAGTTGTGAAAAGATGGAGCAAGAAACACTGGTTACTTTAACTCTTAGTCATCTCATCATAAGTATTACCATGACTGTAATGCTGAATTGTACGTATGCACGTACAATTTGATTTGAACATAACTTCAAGTTTTATTATTACGCTAAATTTGACTAGTTTTAAAACCTGCTATTAAAGATTGGCGGGAACTTTAAAACATTTTTTTCTCCCTAAGAACTGATAATTTGAGTAAGAGTCTAAAATATTTGTTTTTATATAATTTCATAGAATTTTTAGCTCCACTTGATATAATATCAAGTGTCCCAGGCCATCAGAATTGAGATTACTACTCTTATTAAATGTAAATTTATCTCACAAAATTATACAATTACAAAACAATGTTTTACATTTATTTAACACTTTATAGTTTAAAAAGCACATGTCTACATGTGATTTCATTTGCTTGTTCCTTGGAAGAATCCTATTTTATGGATAAAAATCAGAGAGACTGAATCACAGTTAGTAAACAATGGTGACACTCAGCTTAAGCCTGATTCTTCCAAATTAGTGTCCTTGCATTTTTCATGCTGCATTGACCATGTTCTTGATTGTGTTCCTGACTTGGAGAGTACTAAAATGTTCCCAATCTGAGTGAAGGAAAATTCAATGTCAAAATGCTAGTTATACATCTTCTGAATCTGTTAGTGACAGCAAGAGGAAAAATTATTCAAACATGAACCTTTCTTCTGTTGAATCATCAGCAGTAGCTTGAGCTCAAATGTGGTTTACAAGTAAAATGTGTAATTAAGTGTAACTTCATTTTAAATGGCTATAAATTTACATAATGAAAGAACAAGGCCAAGTTTTTTTGATGCAATTTAAATCAGTTTTTAAGTTTTGGATCTGTCCAATTTCATTCAGATATTTTCACAGCTGAACTGAGGTCTCTCTAGGTATTTTAAGAGAAGCCTTCATCATCTCAGCCCATCGTGTTTTATGTGCCATCCATCCTTCTTATAAGAAAATTAATTCAGTGCCCCTTGTAGTGCCACTTCTCTGTTTCTTCTCTCAGGTAGAATAAAACTTTATGTATAATGAAACTTTGTAAGCTGATTTTTTTTCAAACAGTAGCAGGTAAGGGTTCTAATATATGGAAGATATTTTTGGTGTAATACAAATGGGGTTTCTGAAGAACAGGATATTACTGCAGAATATAAGTTGGTTCCTTTGAGATAAAAGTTTAGCCAATGCACAAGCACAATATCCATTTTATGAGAAAAGGAATCCTCCTTTGCAACTCTTCCACTATCTTGTTCACTGGGAACAATGCCTGGAACATGGTAGCTACTTTGTAAATATTCATTGCATAGAAGGAAATTAATTACATATCTTTATTTTTGAGACAGTTTCCTAATTGCATCTTTATTTTTGAGACAGAGTCTCACTCTGTTCCCCAGGCTAGAGTACAGTGGCGCCATCTTGGCTCATTACAACCTCTGCCTCCTAGGCTCAAGCAATCTTCCCATCTCAGCTTCCCCAGGTTCTGGGATTATAGGCGTGGGGTGCCATGCCCAGCCAATTGCATCTATTTTTGTATTTGAATTTTAACATTGAATCCCCTTCTCAATTTGATTTCAATTATGCAGTGCTGCTAGTCATTTATCATGAAATAAAATGTAAGATCTATAATAACAGCATTTTTTCTGCATGACATAGAATTATTATTTCTTTAAATGACTTTCGAAGCTACATTTTTCTTGCTGATACTGTTGAAGTGAGTCTGAAGAGCACTTATTCAGAATGTACAGTTATTAGTCTTTAGGTTCCAAGATCATTTGTTGGATTGAAAATCTGCAAAGTGATTTTTGCTTAGTGATTCTTTGTGTTGGGAATGTTAAAAGGTAAATTTAGGCACAACAAAATATTGAAGAATTTATTTGGGCAGATAGCAATTCATGAATCAGGCAGCACCAGACCACAAGAGGTTCAGAGCTTCACTGTAGTGGGACAGGCAAGAGAGAAACTTATAAGGTGCAGAAGCATGATGAAGAAAATATATTTGAGTGGTTAATGTGGAAAGTCCCTAGTCAGAGGTTGGTTGGTAATTTCTGATTGGTTAAGCTTCAGTTTTGTTTTACTGTTTACAGTGGGCTTTGGTTTGCTTACATAGGTTCCCAAGGCACTGAAGCCATCTCAGCCTAACTGCCTCCCAATTAATTTTCTTTCTTAACAGAAACGTGTAATGGACTATCAGGTCTCTCGTTAAGTGCAGTCAGCCCACTGTATGTGAGGGCTCCACAGCCACAGATTCAACCAAGCTTACATCAAAAATAAAACGTAAGACCTATAATAATAGCACTTTTTTCTGGAAATAATAATTTGGAAAAAAATTTAAAATAACAATACAATGATAAAAATAATACAAATAAAAACAATATATTATAACCATTTATACAGAATTTCTATTGTATTAGGTATTATAAGTAATCTAGAGATGGTTTAAAGTATATGGGAAGATGATTGTATGCTATATGCAAACACTAGGCCATTTTATATCAAGGACTTGAGCATCTTCAGATTTTGGTATATGAGAGGGGTCCTAGAACCAATCCCCCACACTACCCAAGGATAAGTATAATTCCATTTTAAACGATAAATTTAATAATATGGCTCTCACACCCTCTTCCCAGGGATGGCAGAAAAAAAACATTTGATCCTGTCACTTAAGAGAAGTTTCTACAACCCACAGAATGGAGGAAAATAATTGCAGGCCGGGCGCAGTGGCTCACGCCTGTAATCCCAGCACTTTGGGAGGCCGAGGCAGGTGGATCACGAGGTCAAGAGATCAAGACCATCCTGGTCAACATGGTGAAACCCTGTCTCTACTAAAAATACAAAAAATTAGCTGGGTATGGTGGCACGTGCCTGTAATCTCAGCTACTCAGGAGGCTGTGGCAGGAGAATTGCCTGAACCCAGGTGGCAGAGGTTGCAGTGAGCCAAGACAGCGCCATTGCACTCCAGCCTGGGTAACAAGAGCAAAACTCTGTCTAAAGAAAAAAAAAAGAAAAAAGAAAATAATTGCAAACTATTCATCTGATGAGGGATTAATAACCAGAATAAAGAACTCAAGCAACTCAGTAGGAAAAAAACAATCCAATTAAAAAATATCTGAATAGACATTTCTCAAAAGAAGACATACAAATGGCAGGTACATGAAAAAATATTCAACATCACTAATCATCAGAAAAAAGGAGATCAAAACTACAATGAGATACCATCTCACCCCAGTTATAAAGGCTTTTACAAAAAAGGCAGGGAATAACAGTTGCTGGTGAGGATGTGGAGAAAGGGGAATGTTCATTCACACTCTGTTGATGGGAATGTAAATTAGTACAGCCACTATGGAGAACAGTATGGTACTTCTGCAAAAAAAATAAAAATAGAAGTACCATATGATCCAGCAATCCCACTGCTGGGTATACATCCAGAAGAAAGGAAATCAGTATATTGAAGAGAACCTGCTGTTCCATGTTTATTGCAGGACTATTCACAATAGTGAAGACATGGAATCAGTATAAGTGCCCATCAGTAGATGAATGGATAAACAAAATGTGGTATATATACACAATTTTTAGCCACAGAAAATAATGAAATATTGTCATTTGCAATGACATGGAGGGAACTGGAGGATAATATTTTTGGTGAAATAAGCCAGGTAAAGAAAGGCAAATACTGCATGTTCTCACTCATTTGTGGGGGCTGAAAAAAAAACTGAAATAATGGAAAAAGAGAGTAGAATGATGGTTACTACAAACTGGGAAGGGTGGGGAGGATCCAAGACAGCCAAATAGGAACAGCTCGGGAGTGCAGTCCCAGGAAGAACTACACAGAGGGTGAGTGTGCACCACATTTCCAAACAAATTTTCACTGCCCACAGACCGGGAGATTCCCGGGCAGAAAAGCGCCACAAGTTTTTAGCATGGCGGTTTCAGCTGGTGCCCGGTTGGCACACAGAAACTCACACAAACCTTAGCGGCCATTTCAACTGGCGCCTGGAATGCCTGGGAGACAGGGCCGCCCATTCAACTGAAAGAGAGGGGGCAGACACAGGGAGCCAGGCAATCTGGCTCAGTGGGTACCCCCCCACGAAAAAAGCAATCTGAAATGCTCTGGATTGAGAGTTTCACAGCAAGTGCAGCTGGACCCAGGACGGTCCAGTTCAGTTGGGGGAAGGGCAACTACCACTACCGAAGCAGTCCCCCACTACCGAGGCAATTCACACAGCTGATGGGCAGAGCTTGCGGCAGCTCAGCAAAACCTCTGCTGGCAGACTGTCACTAGACTACTCCGTGCAGGGCAGGGCATCTATGAAAAAAGGCAGCAGCATGACAGGTACTTATAAATAAAGCTGACCTTCCTAGGACAGAGAACCTGGGAAAAGAGGCGGTTATGAGTTCTGCTGCAGCAGACTTAGAAGTACCTACCCAGCAGCTCTGCACGGAAGAATGGAGCTCCCAGCACAGCACTTGGGCTCCTATAAGGGACAGACGGTCTCCTCAAGCAGCTCCCTGACCCCTGTATACCCAAAGAGATACCTCATAAAGGAGAGCTCAGGCTGACATCTAGCAGATACCCTTCTGTGACGAAGATAACATGAGAAGAAACTGGCAGCAACTCCTACTGTTCTGCAGCCCCCGCAGGTGATGCCCAGGCAAGCAGGGTCTGGAGTGGACCTCCAGCAATCCTGCAGCAGAGGGGCCCGACTGTTAGAAGGAAAATTAAGAAACAGAAAGAAATAACTTCATCATCAACAAAAAGGATGTCCCCTCAGAGACCCCATCCAAAAGTCACCAACCACAAAGACTACAGGTAGATAAATCTAGAAAGATGGGAAGAAACCAGCACAAGAAGGATGCAAACACCAAAAACCAGAACACCTCTCCTTCTTCAAAAGATCACAACTCCTCACCAGCTAGGGATCAAAGATGGATGGAGAATAAATCTGATGAACTGACAGAAATAGGCTTCAGAAGGTGGGTAATAACAAACTTCTCAGAGATAAAAGAATGTGTGCTAACCCAATGCAAAGAAACTAAGAACCTAGAAAAAAGGTTAGAAGAGATGATAACTAGAATAAACAGCTTAGAGAAGAATATAAATGACTTGATGGAGCTGAAAAACACAGCAAAAGAACTTCGTGAAGCATACACAAGTTTCAATTGCCAAATCGACCAAGCAGAAGAAAGGATATTAGAGATTTAAGATCAACTCAACGAAATAAAACAAGAAGGCAAGAATAGAGAAAAAAGAGTGAAAAGAAATGAACAAAGCCTCCACGAAATATGGGATTATGTGAAAAGACCTAATCTACATTTGATAGGTGTATGTGAATGTGACGGAGAGAATGAATCCAAGGTGGAAAACACTCTTCAGGATATTATCCAGGAAAACTTCCCCAACCTAGCAAGCCAGGCCACCATTCAAGTACAGGAAATAGAGAGAACACCACAAAGATATTCCTCAAGAAGAACAACCCCCAAGGCACATAATCATCAGATTCACCAGGGCTGAAAAGAAGGAAAAAATGCTAAGGGCAGCCAGAGAGAAAGGTCAGGTTACCAACAAAAGGAACCCAGTCAGACTCACAGTGGATCTCTCAGCAGAAACCCTACAAGCCAGAAGAGAGTGGGGGCCAATATTCAACATCCTTAAAGAAAAGAACTTTCAACCTAGAATTTCGTATCAGCCAAACTAAGCTTCATAAGTGAAGGAGAAATAAAATCCTTTATGGACAAGCAATTGTTGAGAGATTTCATCACCACCAGGCCTGCCTTACAAGAGCTCCTGAAAGAAGCACTAAACAAGAAAAGGAACAACCAGTACAAGCTACTCCGAAAATATACCAAATAGTAAAGACCATCGACACAATGAAAAAAATGCATCAACTAATGGACAAAACATCCAGCTACCATCAAAATGGCAGGATCAAATTCACACATAACAATACTAACCTTAAATGTAAATGGGCTAAATGCCCCAATCAAAAGACACAGACAGGCAAATTGGATAAAAAGTCAAGACCCATTTGTGTGCTGTATTCAGGAAACCCATCTCACGTGTAAGGACACACACAGGCTCAAAATAAAGAGATGGAGGAAGATTTATCAAGCAAATGGAGAGCAAAAAAAAAAAAAGCAGGAGTTTCAATCCTAGTCTCTGATAAAATGGACTTTAAATCAACAAAGATCAAAAGAGACAAAGAAGGGCATTACATACTGGTAAAAGGATCAAGGCCTCAAGAAAAGCTAACAATCCTAAATATATACACACTCAATACAGAAGCACCCAGGTACATAAAGCAAGTTCTTAATGACCTACAAATAGACTTAGACTCCCACACAATAACGTGGGAGACTTTAACACTCCACTGTCAATATTAGACAGATCAATGAGACAGAAAATTAACGAGGATATCCAGGACTTGAACTCAGATCTGGACCAAGCAGACCTAATAAACATCTACAGAAATCTCCTCCCCAAATCCACAGAATATACATTTTTCTCAGCACCACATTGCACCTATTCTAAAATTGACCACATAATTGAAAATAAATCACTCCTCAGCAAACGCAAAAGAATGGAAATCATAACAAATAGTCTCTCAGACCACAAGGCAATCAAATTAGAATTCAGAATTAAGAAACTAACTCAGAACCACACAACTTCATGGAAACTGAACAACTGGCTCCTGAATGTTGACTGGATAAACAATGAAATGAAGACAGAAATAAAGATGTTCTTCGAAGACACAACATACCAGAATCTCTGGGACACATTTAAAGCAGTGTCAACAGGGAAATTTATAGCAATAAATGCCCACATGAGAAGTGAGGAAAGATCTAAAATTGACACTCTATTGTCAAAATTGAAAGAGCTAGAGGAGCAATATCAAAAAAACTCAAAAGCTAACAGAAGACAAGAAATAACTAAGATCAGGGCAGAACTGAAGGAGATAGAGACACAAAAAATCCTTTAAAAAAATCAATAAATCCAGGAGCTGGTTTTTTGAAAAGATCAACAAAATAGACAGTCTGCTAGCCAGATTAATAAAAAGGAAAAGGGAGAAGAATCAAATAAATGCAATAAAAAACAATAAAGGGATATCACCACTGATTGATTCCACAGAAATACAAACTATCATCAGAGATTACTACAAACAACTCTATGCACATAAAACAGTAAACCTGGAAGAAATGGATAAATTCCTGGACATATTCACCTTCCCAAGCCTAAACCAGGAAGAAGTTGAAACCTTGAATAGACCAATAATAAGGGCTGAAGTTGAGGCAGCAATTAATAGCCTACCAATGAAAAAAAGTCCAGGTCCAGATGGGTACACAGCCAAATTTTAACAGACATACAAAGAGGAGCTGGTACCATCCCTTCTGAAACCATTACAAACAATACAAAAAGAGGGAATTCTTCCCAAATCATTTTATGAGACCCACATCATCCTGATACCAAAACCCAGCAGAGACTCAACAAAAAAAGAAAACTTTAGGCCAATATCCATGACGAACATAGATGCAAAAATATTCAATAAAATACTGGCAAACTGATTGCAACAGCACATCAAAAAGCTTATCCATCACGATCAAGTAGGCTTCATTCCAGGGATGCAAGGCTGGTTCAACATACACAAGTCTATAAACGTAATCCACACATAAACAGAACCAAAGACAAAAAACACATGATTATCTCAACAGATGCAGAGAAGGCCTTTGACAAAATTCAGCCCTTTATGCTAAAAACTCTCAATAAACTAGGTATCAAAGGAACATATCTCAAAACAATAAAAGCTATTTAAGACAAACCTACAGCCAATATCATACTGAATGGGCAAAACAAGAATGCCCTCTCTCACCACTGCTATTCAATATAATATTGGAAGTCCTAGCCAAAGCAATTAGGCAAGAGAAAGAAATAAAGGGTATTCAATTAGGAAAAGAGGAAGTCAAATTGTCTCTATTTCCAGACGACATCATTGTATATTTACAAGACCCCATCATCTAAGCACAAAATCTCCTGAAACTGATAAGAACTTCAGCAAAGTCTCAGAATACAAAGTCAATGTGCAGAAATCATAAGCATTTCTATATACCAATAACAGACTAACAGAGAGCCAAATCATGAGTGAACTCACATTCACAATTGCTACAAAGAATAAAATACCTAGGAATACAACTAACAAAGGATGTGAAGGACCTCTTCAAGGAGAACTACAAACCACTGCTCAAGGAAATAAGAGAGGACACAAACAGATGGAGAAATATTCCATGCTCATGGTTAGGAAGATTCAATATTGTGAAAATGGCCATACTGCCCGAAGTAATTTATAGATTCAACACTACCCCATTCAAGCTACCAATGACCTTCTTTACAGAACTGGAAAAACCACCTTAACTTCATATGGAACCAAACGAGAGCCCACATAGCCAAGACAATCCTAAGCAAAAAGAACAAAGCCAGAGGCATCATGCTACCTGATTTCAAACTATACTACAAGGCTACAGTAATAAAAACAGCATGATACTGGTACCAAAACAGAGATATAGACCAATGGAACAGAACAGAGGCCTCAGAGGCAACGCCACACATCTACAATCATCTGATCTTTGACAAACCTCATAAAAACAAGCAACGGGGAAAGGCTTCCCTGTTTAATAAATGGTGTTGGGAAAACTGGCTAGCCATGTGCAGAAAGCAGAAACTGGACCCCTTCATTAAACCTTACAATAAAATTAACTCTAGATGGATTACAGACTTAAACATAAGACTAACACCATAAAAACCCTAGAAGAAAACCTAGGCAAAACCATTCAGGACATACGCATAGCCAAGGACTTCATGACTAAAACACCAAAAGCACTGGCAACAAAAGCCAAAATAGACAAATGGGACCTAATTAAACTCGAGAGCTTAAGTACAGCAAAAGAAACAATCATTAGAGTGAACCAGCAACCAACAGAGTGGGAAAAAA